CGTACAGGGTATTTCTTAGTCGGGCTCAGCAATGTTTTGAATTTAGATAGATTGAAATCTTGTTGTTGCTGTGCATGGCATATGAATGAATTCATAAGAATACACTTGTAGTATTTGCAACACAACACGATTCACTTCTAATGTCAAGGCCACACTCATACAAGTACTCACACTCACACTCACACTCGCTCTCGCACTCGCAGTCGCACTTATGTTGTGCCTCTGGCTGCCGCGCACTTTCGCTATCAGAAATGGGGCATCTGTGGAGCTGCTTTGGCTTGGACAGCAAGTCGGCCAAGTGATTCTATTTGGAGGCTTGCCTCTGTCCATATAATTTACGTTAACGTCTCTTGGCCGGCTAACGGTAAAGCTGTGGCCTAGAAAGGAAATTTCATTGCATTCTGCGGACTATACTTGAGTGTGTTGCACGCCATAAAAACCCAAAGCGAGGGTAGTTTGATAAATATGGGAAATGTTGTTAGATAGAAATTAAAAATTTAAATCTTAAATGTTTTTTGATAGTTAAAAACTAAAAGTTCAGCTAGGCAGAGATAAATGGGAATGCAATTAATTAGATAAATATTGATTTATAATCTGTAAACTTAAAAAATTCCTTTTAACTTGATAACATATGGAAAGTCCCAACAAAATATACCACAATGTTTCACACTAAGGAAATGTGTTATTTTGATTGACACACAGCGAAGTCAAACACCAGGTTGGGCTCTAGTTACTGGGTAAACGCCTCTAGTATAACAGCCAGCTATTGTAGAGTTCCTATCGTGAGTCACTGCACCAGATACGATCTTCATTGTGTCCGACTTTCATGTGCCCGACGCGTCTCGACAATTTATGAGCGTTGGCAGAGTGTAGGCTGATAAGATAAAGGCCAGCGACAAGGCCAGCAAGAATGCGCAGAGTGTGTGCCGTATTCAGATGAGTGCTGCTTGGTGCTATTGTTCCGATTGTTCCGATTGTTCAGTTGCGCAATACTTTAGCGGGGGTATTATAATTATATGCGAGCTCTGCAGGCACGCGAAGTGCCACAGAATGTTTATAAATTTATGGCCGCTGCATTTGCAGCTCGCTTCCGCTGCAACTGGCTTTCCACATCCTGAGCTCGTAAACTCAGGCCTGCCAAAAAGGATGTTGTGCAGCAACACACGACAAGGTGCAGCCTTGACCAACAGCCACAGCCACAGGCACAGGCACAGCCAAGGCAAAGGCAAAGACGAGGGCGCGGCTGGGCGCACGTGTCAGATGGACAGACAGACACACACACAGCTCGTTAGGAGCCAAGTCAAAGGCTTGGCCGGCCTTTTGTGTGGGTGTGAGTGTGGGTGTGGTTGTGATGGGCCACACCCAAATCCTGTAAGAAATCACTGTTCATTTTGGGCGTGGTCTCGACTGCGTATTCTTGGATATGAGCGCACCACGCTGCGTATGAGCAATATTTCTGCTTCTCCCCTTTAACCCCAGCTGCTGCTGCTGCTGCCGCTGCTGCTTCTGCTGCTGAGTTCATTATGCCAAATGGCAAATTCTGAATAGGTTAATAGAAGAAGCGGCTCATTTATGGAGCGTAGACACGCGAAAATCGCATAACTTGTTAATTTACGTATGGCCTCTCATATGTTTGTTAATGTTTTATTCAACTTTTTGGCACACACACACACACACACGCGCACATCTGCCTGTCACTCTTTGACTTGGCTTTTGGCAGATGTAATTACGAGTCAAACAAAAGAGCGCCAGGTTCAACGAGAGGCGCGTGTTTACCTCCTGTCCAATGACAATTAATCAATTTAATCCCATTATTAATTTCGCTGCGAACCCTTTCCCGGCGTTCGCCTCGAAAAGTTGATGATTTTATTAAGACAGCAGCAACAATCAAAGCGCAGTTCTTCACAGTTAGTGCAAAAACCTGTTCGCCCAAAAGACACTCTGCGCAAAAACTCTGATCAGCCATAAATATTGTTATAAATTCATTAATTAGCCAGCTCGGGCTCGGGTTGGGGTCTGGGCTATGCGGGAGGTGTGTTTTATGGCCTGCTAATTTATGTCTTTAATCGGACACGATTACTCTGCCCATAAATCAGCACCAATTCTCTCCGCGGGACTTCTTCCAATAAAAACAAATAGACCGCAATTTGAGGTTTAAGGAATTGGATGCGTAAGCGTATCCAGGAATTTCATTGTTATTGCTATTATTAAATCATTATCTGATCTTTCTAATGATTTCCATAGAAAACTTGAAGAAGACTAGCTCTGGATTATATAACATATTCTCGACAAAAAGTTCCCACATTAAAAACTGTGAAAAATTAAAGATAATTTTGTTGCCCAATAGGCTAACTGGTAATTTCTTTCGCTACTTTATTACTCATCCCATTATTTGAGTGAGAGCTGTTCCTATTCTACGTACATAGCTATGCATTTCCGTTAAATACTGCAATAAAACGACGTCAAGAGATGCTTAATAACTTTGAAAAGCATTTAGCTAATGCCATTTACTCAGTGTCACGCAAGCAAAAACTTTCCACGGCAAACAGAAGTTGGCTGGAAGCGCTGATCAATCCGCTTGCCAGATTATTAACTTAATTATAAGCCGCGTTCATTAATAACACGTTGATATCCCGTTGATATCTCGGCCCACAGCGAACTGGCGCCTATCGCAGCCCGAGGCGCTGCGTCTACAACTCGCTAATCTTCCATTGGCAGCGACTCAGATTTAGTTGCGATCAGGCTAACAAGTATTATTGAAATTCGCATTTGTTTACAATTTCACCGTGATGTCATTTAGAAGACTGTCAACTACTGGCACGATTACAGTTAGTGAGAATCACTACGCAAAAAGCCGCCTCGACTTCCGACTGCCTTCTATGTACAATTTCACGATATTGGCCCGCATGAATTATGAGGCAGACGGTCAAGGCACGCTTGTCGCCATAAAACTAACATAGTTGCAGCCAGAAGAGAAATTATAAACACGTTTTGGCATTGCCACAATTTGTACAAATCTTCCCGTCGCGCTTCACGCGCCGCTAATAACTGCGAAGATCAATTACTTCCACTGTGTATTCACTGTCAAGGTTAGCCTCTGTCTGTGTGTGTGTGTGTTTGAGGAGGCCTTTTAGCAGCTCCATAAAGCGGGGTGCACAACCTGCTCAGCTGATCTTTAAACCAAATATAAATATTGGGTTTGTGTTTCTCACGCGCTATTTGGACAACTGTTGAAACAATATAACAGATACATTAATTAGCTGCTCGAAGAATTTCCATAGAGTGGGGCATGGCAATTGCTTTAGCGTTAGCTTTAGCTTTAGCTTTAGCGGCGAAAATTAATTAGTGCGGCAAATATTTTTGTTATTTTCATTTCTTATCGCCGCGAACATGACGCCAGTTGGCGATGCTTTTAACCCAACGCAAACAAGCTGCAAGCTTTGCTGTTGATTCTAACAAATTCCTCGAAATTGTCCGCCCAAATGTGCCATAATAATAACCAATAAACACGGGCCATTAGATTGACATCATTTTCTCGATGTGCAATATTTTGAAATTGCAGTTCATTCACTTGCTTAACTGTTTCTTTGATTGCTTTAATGGTTTTATGGTTTTATTGTCAGCCTTTGTCGAGGAAGTCATCATCGCCTAAATAGCTGGCGTTAATGTTGTGTCGCCTGTGTTTGCGTCCAGCTATCGATGTCTTTTTGTGGCTGCCTCTCTCCGCGCTGTGTCATGAAAACTTTCAGTTCAGATGCACAAATCAGAGCCGGCTGCCTGCCACGGAAGCAAACCCAGCACGACAAAACAAAAATCAGCAAAACTGGCGACCAATTTGCCGTCATGTTGCGCCGATGAAAATATTGAAATTGAAAAGCAATCATTTGGTTATTGATAAAGAGACAAAAAAAGAAAAACACACTCATATGCAAAAGACATGCATACTTGATTAAATGGGCAAAGATGATATTTCAGTTTTTAAATAGTTGCTGAAAATGATTTGACGTCTCGCTCAACACACATTTCCCTTCTCGAAAAAGTCCCACATTATGGTGTATCTATCCTGTTCTTTGCTAATTATAATTTTCAAGTTTAGGATTTCCCTACTCTAGAAAGTCCCACATTGGGGTATATCGATCCTGCTCTTTGCTAATTATAATTTTTAAAGGGAAATTTGAATTTATTAGCGAGCGTTTAAAGACTTCCTTTAGTATTTCCCTCCCCAAGAAAGTCCAGTATCGAACCTGTTCCTTGCGAATTATAATCTTCAAGTATACATTTCAATTAATCAGCGACCTCAAAATCTCTTTAGGATTGGTTTATATTTAAACCAATCGGTTAATTTAAGACTCACCAGAGTAAAAATGTGTGCTAGCTAAATATAAATTTGCTTATTCAGCTGACAGCAGAATCTTGAAGTTATTGCCAAACAGAAATGAAATTTAATCGGATGCACATTTAAAAAAAAAAGCTTAAAATAAACAAATTTATTTTTAATTTATTTTCATTAAAGTTTGTAAAGTGATTTATTATACTGTAATTAATCTTCTTTTTTCTTAAAATAAAGAAGCAAGAAAGAAACTGAGAATTCTTAACAAACAAAGAGAATTTCCCGCTTAATTCAGTTGACAAGCGTATAATTCGATTAAAGACTTTAATTCGCTTCGCAAATTTATAACTATTATTTAATTAGAACTTGCAGGTTAAAGTTTGAACTGAGTGCGGCTTAAACATATTTGACATGTGTGTTATTAAGTGCAAGTACTTTCTACTATTTGCATTTTGTACTCATTCGCCAAATTCATGCAAATTGTCCACAATATATTCCACGCACGTTTCTAATTCGCACACTTTTCGATTCCGCTAACCTTCACACACGCACACGCACACGCACACACACATACATACGTGTACATATGTGTGTATTCATGCATGCAAACAATTGAAATTTCCCCGAATCATTCGTTCAGTCTTCAGACTTGACTACGACTTGCACTCACCTGTCTTCTCAACCATTTTGCACTATTTCTTCGTCTCAGCTGTCTCCTTCCGCTGCTGCTGCTGCTGCTGCTTCCTCCTCCTCTTTCTCTTCTTCTTGTCTGTGGCTGCTGCTGCTACTCGAGTTGAGCGCCGCGTGGGTTCGTTGAGTCCAGTTGTTGTTGCTGTTGTTGTTGTTGTTGTTGCTTTGCTTTCGTTTTGTTGTGGTAAAAGTTCGATTTCGGCGTACTTGGGCACACTTGAATCAAATGATTGTGCCAAATGTCTTATTGCCAAATAATGATTGCTAAGGTTAAGTGGCTGGCTTGGCTGCGAGTTGCACAATGGCCAGACGCAGGCACTTGATCATAAAAATTGGATTCGATATTGAAAAGCGCTCTGCGCTTGCTTTTTCGAGCGGCTCACAATTGCGCAAACGCCCCACACACACAAATGTAATTAACAGTTCGATTTTGCAGCCTGCAGCCTAACTGTTTGTTTGCAATGACAATTTCACTTTAACCACGTCGTTTGTGCTTGAATCTCTTCTAAGTATTTATTTTTTTTCAAGCGGCTGCCGCGCGATCTTTTGATTGCGTTTATTGGGTTTGAAAACGAAAATGAAAGCGCGCAACTCGCTGAACAATTATCAATTTTCTCAATTTAATTAACTTGGCTTAGAGTCGCTTCCTCTGATAATTGAAATCGAAATTAAAATTAAATTTATTATTGCGGGCACTTGACGAACTATCTTTCCAACTTTCTGGCTTCGACTGTTTTGGCCAGATTTCTGTTTTGCTCGCTTCGCTTCGATTCGCTTCAATTCGATTCGTTTCGTCTAGCACTTGCTGAGTTTTTGCTTTTGCTTTTGCTTTTCCGTTTGAGTTTGAGTTTTGCTTTGCGTTTGCTTTTGCGTTTGCTTTTGCTTGCTGCCACGTTCGCTGCTCGAGCGCAAATAAACGTTGCTGGCGCTGTGCCTGTAACTGATATACTCTCGGTCGGCACAACGTCGACGCCGCCGCTGGCTTCGACTGCGGCTGCGTTCATGTTAGCGGCGAGTGCGGCTGCGAAGCCGGCGACGTCGACAGCGCAGTCGCTTAACTCTTGGGCTTGGCGCTTGGCTTTCTTGCTGTTCGTTTACCGTTGCAGGACGGGCTTCGGTCTGCCCTTATGACTTAATTAGCTAGGTTTGCATACTAGCTATACCCTGGCCAAATGCGTGTGAGAGGGGTATATTGGTGACAACCCGTTTGGTTAGCTGGGATTCATTTCTCAGATAAAAGATGAATGAATCATTGTCTACGCAACTAAATTATATATAATATAAATTATAAGTTTAACAAGAGCTGTTATTAGTATCAGACTTTTGTACTTAATGCCACACTGTGGTACTTTATACATACTTAGGGTATTTTATGGCACACACGCTGTTAGTTCTGTCTGACTCTGTATTGGTGACAGCGCGATTGCTTAACATTGATTCATTTCTAAGATAAAGGAGGAATAAATCATTGTCTACACAACAGAATATAATATACATATATTAAATAATAAGTTTTACAGTAATTGTTATCAATAGCAGAATATTTTACTTACTGCCACACTACCTAGGGTATTTTATAGCACAGCACACACGCTGTTAGTTCTGTCAGTTGTTTTCAACTTTTCTAAAGTCATTCTGCTGACACGTTCCACTCAAGAAATTGTACTCAATAGGCCTAAAACTGATTAAGGCATTCAGTGCATACCTTAACTTATCAACTTGGAGAACTTAATGCCTTCAACTGATTAGCCGTAATCCCTTCCCGTCCTCCCGTCTCCCGTTCCGTCCCGTCCCGCTCCGTCCCGTCGACGACCTCCAATGCTCGCAATATCAGATAGCGAAAATGTTTTCCATTGACGCTTGAATAGTTTAATTGCACATTAGGGCACTTTTTCTCCGCTAATGGGCTATGCTTGATGGCCGCTTAGTACTTTTCATATTTCGCTTTTTAAACAATTTCACCTGCCCGTGCTGCGCTTTGATATTGATTAGGTTTTTGTCTTGGTTAATAGCCTGCTTATAAATACACCCACCGCGAACCTTGTCATGTTTATTTCAGGCTCAAGCAACAGTTGCGATTTATTGACAAAACAAGCGACACACCAACAAAAACATAAAACAAAACAAAAACAATAACAAAAACAAAAAACGAAGATATAGTAGCGCGCGCTTTCTTGATAAATAATGCCCGCTCAGACAGATTTTCTATTTGCCCAGATATGAATGGGCGTATTTAGCGCTCAAGAAACCAATTTGGCAACTTTATAAAATTTATGATATGTACTCAAAGTCTGCTTGGAGTACCTGGCACAAATCGTTAGCGAGATATCAGTCTGAAATTTGGAATATATATTCGAAATACTTCAAAGTAATTTTTGAAAATAAAATAAAATTAGACTGCAGAATAAAAACGGATCTTATTAACGGTCAAAAGCAGAATTTGGTTACTTTCACAGTTAATTATACGAGAAAAGAACAAAATAGAGTACAAATTTTAAAAATAATGTTATGTAAAAGTGTATTTTCTTCATTTATTTGTAAATTTTCGACTATTTCTTTGTTGGTATCAAATACTTGTACCTGATACGCAATATGCCGTGGTTTAAATTATGAAAAGCCAAAAATCTCCAATTGTAGGAATATAAGTAAATATCTTCTCGAACATAACTGTGAATATGAATATGTATATTCACATACTCAAAAAGTCGAATCTGGAACAAATTCAACCCAAGCCTTGAACCTTACTTTAGGTTCACAGAAATATAATTCCTCTTGCATTTGAATATTTATTTATGAATTTATTTTATTATGAATAAAGTCTTTAGACCAAATTATATGAAAAACTAAATTGGATACCAAACCTTAGCTTCATTTTAAGATACCTAGACCTAGCCTAGGCGCTTTTTTTCCCCATCAGCATGTTTTTAAACCCAATTGAACTACTTATTTTTTAATATATTCCTTCTGCAGTAATTATTTTAACCAAACCCTAATTGAAAAATATCAACAATTTTGCACAACGGACCAAGGCAAAATTTGATTTTCGAAAACGCACTTGAAAATCGAATTGATAATACTTCGGATTAGGTTTTTAAAGCTTCGTACTAAGCCACTTAAGTTTAGTCTTAGCATTTAAAACGGTTGACTAATATTGCGAGTAACGTGCAAGTAAATAACGTGTCGAATCAATTACTGATGAAATACCCTGGGAAATTTTCCACACAATTCACAAAGAAATGATTAGAATGAACAAATATTATATGGATATATTTTTCTGCTTGTGCGACTTTTATGATTACGTACCCAAAAAAGTAATTATAAAAATTATTCATAATTAAAATTTGTTAAGGAGTAAATTTGGATTGTGTTCCAAAAATGACAGACTTGTTATTTAATTAATTAAATTATACGTTTCTTATTGCCAACTTGGGATGGAGTCTAAGTACCTTGACTTATCTCATTTTGATACCCTTGAATTTTGTCAAAAAGTGGAGAATTGATGGAGGCATCTCTGACTTCAAAGGGTATACATATATATTCCAGATCAGCATCAACAACTGAGTTGATATAGCCATGTCCGTCTATCCCTCTGTCCATCTGCTTGTTTCCATAAGAACTAGTCCCTCAGTTTTAAATTGTCTTGACACTTTGCATAGGTTCGCCTTTCTGTTGCAGGCGGAACAGGCTTGATTATAGCACTTTATTGCCATAAGATGCCATAAGAACGATCGGTCGAAAAGTAGGTTCTTGTATGGAAAACTTTTTGGCTTATCAAAATATGTTTATCAAGATATTTCCCTTTCGGGAATTATAAGTTTCACTTTGTTCCCTACATATATGCCAAACCACAATATCATATACCACTATTCTGTCCAAATATACTGTTTTCCGAGATACTTTCACCAAACTCAGCAAATACGATCTTCCCAATTCTCACATATCTGTCAAACCGTAAGGGATATGTTTTAGAAGGGTATTCGATCTTCGGCGTGCGAAAGATATTCTACACTCACGTTTAATAAACAATAATTATAGTAAATTCCAGCCATTCATATTCTCAGCATTATCAAAAAAGCTTTGCGTAATTTCTTCAATTTAACTTTCAGCAAGAGTCAGAGGGGTAATTTTTGAAAAGTCATTCAATAAACGAAGCAGCGACGACTTCGTGCTGGTGACATTGCCAAGTTGTTAGCCAAAAGTGTAGCTGTAATTTAGCGCTTCCAGAGCAGAAATGTTGGCCTGTGCGAAATCCAGTCGGAGCGCAATATCGGAGATCGAGCGATGTGCCCCGATCGGCGTGGTGGTGCTAGCGGTTTCTGTTGTTGGCCCGAATGATTTACAGTTATTGGCGGGGCTAATCATGAAACGAAATTCGTGTGCAAAAAGGCAACTGCCAGCAATAAACGCACATGAGTCAGTAGAAATGGAGCCATGAAATGGCCGAAACCAAAATGCTGATCAAATTGCCAAAAACAAAATTGGTTCACTTTGCGGTTCGTTCGGTCAGGTGCTTGAAGGCGGAGCCTCGTGCCTCGTGCCACGTGCAATTGTTGATTGTTGTTATTGTTGAGCTACGAGCGAATCATTAATTTGGTCTATATATACACGGCAAATAAAGGTCAATGTCGCCAGCTCAATGCTGAGCTGCAGCTTTGACACTTCAGAGCGCAGCTTCAGCTCACCTCAGCAAAAGCTTCAGCTTCAGCTTCAGTTCCATCAATCTTTTCTACCTGAGCCCGAGCCCGTGCGTGAGCGCCTCTCTCCATCTCCATCTCCATCTCCATCTGCATCGCTCTCTTTGCCTCTCCTCCCCTCTCCGAGTCGCTCGCTCTAATTATGGCTAAGAGCCCCGATTTGTACCTAATATTTATACATATATAAGGTGTATCCACTCGTGTGTTTCAATAAGGCCGCCGCTTGCGGCTACAGTCAACATTTTGTTGTTTTTATTGTTTTCTTGGCTTGTACTCGGATATTTTTTTGCAGTCTCTGCTGATCTTGGCATGACTATGACTAACTGTTTCTCGAAGCGTTAAGTGTTGTTATTGTGGCTCGAATTGCTATGGCTATTGACAAAATGTTTTTTTAGCCCAGCGCACGCAATATCGTGGGAAATTCTTCAAAACACCCAAATTTCTGTGGGGGCGTATGGCAATGTCATACAGATCTACTTATATACATTCGAATGTCACTAACGAGCTATAGAAACGGGAACAATTTACGTCGCACTAAGCTCCTCAAGATTTCCCCCTTCTCTAGGGTAGAGGAAGACCCTAAGATACAAAATTATTCTATTAAAACTTTCCTTGTGTGATTATTTTTAGATTAAATATTCAATTTGTTGCAGCTATTTATCTAAGAACGAAAAAAAGTATCTTAAAATTGCACAACTAAAAGATACTCCGCTGTCGAGATACTCAAATATACTCGAATCAAGAAAATACCTCGAGAACACGAAAATTATAACACTTGAATTGCATAGATTGTTCCCATTATTATTGTCACTACTTAGAGTACCAAAAAGTACTTTGTTAGGTATGTTTAACATATACAGATAATGAGGATTTATAGTGCTTTGGAGAATTCCTTTTCGTTAAGTTATACATTTCGCAGAGTATTATAACTTTGAAATTGTGAGCTGATTTTCGTACCACTTATCGAGCGCGCCATCGATTTATTTAGAGTAAGAATTAATTAGAATCAATTATCGAACAAAAATGAATGGAAATATACTTAGCCTGAAAGCGAAATCCACTTGAATAAACACGAAACTCTAATTAATATTAAAAGAAAACAAACTGAAACTTTTTGGATAGAAATGAATAGCATTCGTCGTGAAAGCCGAATTAAACAAAAAACTCTAATTAGTATTAAAAAAGAAAAAACGCAAACTCTTTTAAGCAATGAATAGAATTTCGGGGGCATCCGTCATGCCAAAGTCGCTGTACCCCCGCGCAAGAGTACAGAGATCTGACAGATGAGGCGCGTCTCTTGGGGCACTTCCTGCCAGCGAGGCGCGTGCGGGTCGAAAATTGCAGGCAATTAAGAATATTGGTATTAGTCTTTTAGCTTTTGAAGTTTTGACTCCGAACACTTGAGTCCGAAAGCGAATTGATTGACAACGTCAAGTGCGTGTGCTGGCTTTTTTTTTTGTCTACTTCGAAATTCGCCATTTGTGTTTATTTAATTGCTGTACACAAGAAATACAGAAATACTCGTATTTGCTCAGCCGAATGCCGAGAACAGTATTTCAATTTTCAGCTTAATTTCGCTATTTCGCTTTATTTCAGTTTTTTGCTAGTTAACTTTTTTGCAGGCTGCTGTTTAACTTGGGGCAGAGATCGTACGTGTTCCATACGGAAATGGGAATGGGAACGAGAACGAGAACGTAAAATTGATGGAAATATGTTTGGGGCAGCTGATAAGCGGCTGCTTTGCTAATCTGAACTCATTCAACTGTTGCCCATTTAATGGGCCAGAAAGCTGTGAACAGCATGTGATCTAAACTAGCTTCCGCACAATACTCGAAACTTCTTCCAGTGCGCACTTTATGTTCAATTTGTTTAATTGATTGACCCCCCCTCCCCCCTCCCCGCTCTGCTATATATGCGGCTTTTTTCATTTGTCATGCCCGTCAAGGCGTCCCCACACAAGTCATTCCACATCCCGATCCACATCCATGCCCTGGGGTGTAGTTCCATAGCCTATTTAATCAAGCTCAAAACTAGGGGTTCGGGGTGTAGGCATGCAAATATAGTGCTCCGTCATGCTGGGCCTCAAAGTTCAAGGACGCTCGTCCTGGCACTCGACTCGGCACTGGGCGTTGTCCAAGCCACATGTCAAATGTGCTCCGCGCAGCGCATAAATTTGAATAATGAAAAGTCAGCTTGAGCTCCGAACGGAGAGTGGTTGCTACTTTCCCATTTCCCCGTTTTCTTTAGTACCGTTTTTGCGCAGGGCTGGCAAAGATGTGCGACCAACAATCAAATTTATATGTGCCATATGTCTCCTACTCATTAATATAAAAAAAAAGTTAAAAGCTTGCTTATAATAAATGCGCAGAAAATGTTTGTTAAATTATATGGGAAATTTTGTCATTTTGTTCGATTCCGAACTTTTTTTCATGCATATAAAGTTTCGAGTGTAAATTACCTAATCCGAAGGAAATTTCCCGAATTCCGAACTTTTGATGCAAAAAATAGAATGCAACGAACCTGTGAAAAGTGTAAACCCTAAAATAAATGAATGTATGTGTAAATATATTTACAATTTTAATATTAATAATATTGCAAGAAAAATTATGGTTTGTCTTGGCCCGTGCGAGTAGAAAGAGGTATTATATATATATGTATATCGCTCCGAAATCGGGCTTTATTTAGCCGAGATATCGCCATTTCCAAAAAAACATTCGTGCCCCATCTGCCCGATATCGGGTTTTTTTTGGCCGATAAATAGCCGTTTATAGCCGTTTGTAGCGGTTTTTAGCAGAATTTTAGTAGTACTGCATACTTTCGTGCTGTCTGCGTTTTGACTTATTTTTGAAATTAAAATTAAAAATCTCCTCTTTTTTCTCGTACGGATCCCGACTATCGATTGACACCAACCAATCTGATTTGAGATTGGCAGTACCACGTTTTTTCTTTTTCACGTCTTGGCCCACCCTTCCGAAGGAAATGAGCAAACAAACAAACCCGGGACTCAAACCATTTCGAATTTATGGCACCTCATAAAAGTAAGCTGCATTTTATAGATTGTAATTTCGATTGTATGTGTGTGTTTGTGGTGGAGGCGTCGGATAGTCGTCTTCAAATCAAACAATGATTTTTTCTATAAATTGTTGTAGTTTTTATTTCACTTGCGGCTACATATAATGAACTTTACATAAGAAGTGATTTGCATTTTCCTGTGTCAAAACTGTTGAGGTGGAGTGGAGATCGTGGGAAGAGTTCTGAGCATACTTTGGATCCTATTTTGAGAGTGAGTCTCTCTCACTGAGTGAGTCTCTCTCACTGAGTGACTCTCTCATTGAGTGAGGCTCAGTCAATGCTACGTTCGGACTACCATTGAACTGGCATCAACAGTGTGCATTAATTAACATGTTTCGAGGAAGCATGATTGTATTGTTGGACACAATTTAATTGGGGAAAATATCATTTCGATTTAATTTTAAGTAATTATATGTACAATTTCCATTCACAATTAGGAGCAGACTTGTCTAAGCATTTGTCGTGACAACAATTGGTCGAATGTCATGGGATTGACAGGCCGAAATCTGATCGCCATTTAACGCACCCTCGCACACACGCGATCACCGTCATGCCGTAAAGGGGCCATAAAGCAAATTGAAAATGACAATAAGGCAAGTAAATCAGAGTTTATGGCACGCCACAGTGGAAAAGTTCGCGATGCACTAAATTAATTTAGAAACAGAAACAGAAACAGAAATCAAAACATTGCTCGAATTGTTTGGCTTTCGCTTGTGATAAGCGCCATGAAAATTGCACAAAATTAAATCGGGCAGCGCGGAAACTTTTTCACAAACGTCACGAGAAGCGCGATCCGCGATCCGCCTGGGCCTGGGCCCGGGCCTGGGGCGTTGTACCAATTTTGTGTTTGCACCAATAAATGTTTAAATATTTAAACAGATCATAAAACAATATGTGGCTGATTGCACATGTTTATTTACTTACGAATTGGGAGTAATAATTGCACGCGTTGTCGTCACAATTGACGTTTCACAGCGTGACTCTCTTCCCATTCATCCTCCCCCCACCCTCTCGATCACTTTCAAGTTGGGCTCGCACTTTGATAAGCATTACAGCATTTAAGAACAACAGCTGCGAAGGCGCGCGCGCGCTCCTCAACACACCTGTCGCCACCTTCACCACCTGCCCCCCTGCTAATTATTCCGCCTACGTCTGCCTCCGCACAGTGGAATTGTCAATTTAAGTCAATAACAGAACCATTTCATTTTTACGGGCTAATACTCTTTGATTTTGACATAAATAAGTTACACATTGCAAGGGGTATATTGGTTTTGTGATTATGTATGCAACAGACAGAAGGAAGGATCTCCGATCCCATTATTAATATTTTTCCCCTTCAGAATGTCCAGTCGATCCAGCCATGTCCATCTGTGTGAACGTCTCCATCTCGGCAATAAAAACTCTGGAGACTTGAACATTTCCATTATTTGTATACCATATGCGGAATGAATTTATAATTTTTTCTCGATATTTCCCTTTATTTTTTTCGGATTTGGGATATTTGAGATATTAAGCATAAATCGTTGGTTATAAGAGCTAGAGACGCCCAAAGTAGTAAGAATATTTTCCATTTTGCATAACTCAACCCATTTTCTTCAAAACTTAAAAATCCCTTATTATTACAGGAAAAACCTGGCCCTTCGGTATATGCACACAGCTGTGCGCAAGCCTAAGTTAGAAAGAACTAGATATTACTATAAAGAAGTACATCTGCTATAAGTAAATTACAATTATTAAAATCACGAATCATTCTTGCTTTTAAGTCTTTTAGTTTTTAGAGCATTATGAGAAACAATTGGTTTTTTTTTTAACATGAAAGAGCTTGATAATTAAAAGCTTCTTCTTGCTAGAGAAAGTTTCATCGTCATCAGAGGGCAATTTTAAATTCCCATCTTCAGTATACTTCCCACATTTGGGTAATATTTTATCCACTTCGAACCAGTATGTATCATTTCTTTCCTCTGGAACCAAACGGTGATAAATTAAGTTTTTCCATACAAATAGCCTTGTGTAGCAAATAATATTTTTTTTATCTATATCTGATTTTCTTGTTTTATATTTTCTTGGCCTTGAATATTTGATCGTAGTCTTACATTACTCTATCTGTTTTTCATTATAATTTATTTACAGAAAAATAATTTTAAGCCTTTAAGTATATAGTTGATAAGTTATTTTTAGCCTCTCAGAGATAAACCATGCGCAAACAGCTTTAAGAGAATATGAGTATACGATTTTTGTATTCTTGGTTTGCAGCAATAAAAAACCTAGTCCTAATGCCGAAATGACTCAAGTAAGTAGTTAAAAGATTACAACCCAAAAGGAAATAAACATTCAAATTGTCAAACAAACTAACTTACACTGATAAGCTACCAGTATATATACCCGTATATATACCAGTATATAATATACAAAATACAAATAAATGAAACTTCAAACCGCAATTCCTAACGACACATTCAAATGTTTTATGTTCTTAGAACAATAGCCTAATATGACAGAGAAGTAATAAACACTTTTAGGTAGCTGCTAAATGAATTCATTAAAAATAAATTTCCTCAAATATTCGAGCAGGTTTCCCATGAGCTTGGCCCACTGTGCGGCGCAGAGCGCTTACCGCTTTGCTTTTTTTCAGCGTCTTCAAGCTTTGCGATTTTCGTGGCGCGCAGTGTTTGTTATTAAGTCAAAGTGCGCGGATCGAATTGTCGGAGGGGAGCGACTCCTGCCAAATAAGTTGAACTCTGTCTGTCGTCAAGTAAAGTGAACTGTGTTCTTGTTGCTGCCAGATTTATGTACATCATTTAAAAGGTGGCATTTATTGCACATTAAAAAAAGGTGTCAAGCAGCCGTTGAGCCTGCCTGTGCTTAAAGTATTTAACATAAAAAGGTAAATAAGCGAATAAATATGCTAGAACAAAGAGTTTTCAATAGGCCAATTAACAAATCTACAAATCTACGAATAGACATATTCTATTCTATTCCCCCTTCCCCCTTCGACTCTACTTCAATGTTTTCTGCTCCGCTTTGTCGCCTCTCTGACCTCATGTCTGTCTTTCTTACCTTCGCAATCGTTTTACTTGTTGCTCTTTTTCTTTCGAGCGCCAATCCCAAATATGATCTCACAGTAGAATACACAAAATTCGGACCAGAAACACACGTGTGAGATCATAAAAAAGGAAATAAAATCAAAATTGTCTTCCACTTATGTTTGTATGTATGTGAGCCAGACACAAGCCACAAATTATTCCAACAAACCACATACATTAATATTAAAAAAAATATATATATATATATATTCCATTTAGATGTTGCGATATGCTTAAATTTGAGAATGATGCATTGCTACCAAAATATATTTAAATAAAAACACATTTCTATGGCCACCAATTAAATTTTGTTACGCTTTAGATATATAAATATATAAATATGTATATGCCTGTCCGCCAAACTTTTGGGCGCGGCGATGCGTGTAATGATGCGAATATTTACTGTACTTTAAAAACATTTCACATTTAAATATAATCATGTACTATAATAACAAAGTTCAGCTCTATTGTCTAGCTAATTAGGGAAACTAATCACAATAAACTTATTCGTTAGCTTTGTCCTATTTGCAATTCGCACCGACATACTCGTCATTCAGATCTGATTACTTCATCCCTGACTTCACTCTACGATTTTAATGGATCGAAACGTGCCTCCATCTCCATTTCGGTGCAGCCTTCGCGCGGCATACAGATTTTCGTTTTAAGTTGAAGTGAGTTTTATGTCTATTTAAGTGACAAAGTTGCGATAGAGCTGTGCGACGATGATATCAAAGCATGTCATCAGCCTCGAGAAATGGACTCTTTTGCAGTCGGCTGATCTTCGGTATAACAGATTGTGTGTATGCGACGTTGATATTAAATCATGTCATCAACCTCTATAAACGGACTTTTTAGCATTCAAAATTGGCTGATTTCCAGTATAACAGATTGTATATATGCGTCAATGATATCAAAGCAAGTCATCAGCCTCAGGAATTGGCCGTATAACAGATTGCATGTATGCGACGATAATATCAAGGCATGTCATTAACCCGTAGAAATGGACTCTCGTTGATATTATTGCAATATATCAGCCTCCAGATATGGACACTTTTGCAGTCACAATGTGGAAATTGGCTGAATTCCAGTATAACAGATAGTATATATGCGAAGATGATATCAAACCAGTCGGCTGATTTGCAGTATAACAGTTTGTATATGTATGCGACGATTATATCAAGGCATGTCACAATGTAAGAATTTGCTGATCTTCGGTATAACAGATTAAAACATATTATTGCTAAACTTTTATATAACACCTATATATATATATATACATATATATATATATATATGCGACTAATCTATCAGCCACTGCAAATTGAATGAAGTAATTTGGGTTTGTGCCTGATCTTCATATAGCATATAACAGCTTGTATGTATGCGTATAACGGTTTTTAAATTGATCTAAAGCCATCCGACATTAGATCAGCTTTGCAATTCGAATGACGCCCACGCTTGCCCCTATTTCATTTAATTTTATTTGGTTTGTTTATCTTTTTATTATTTAAATTTCAACAAGTTGTCAAATAGATGACGTCAGAAGAAGCACTAAAGTTGTCAAGAAAACAAATGAATAGCTTTCTGCTTAAAACAAGCTAAGCAGATTCAGTTCAGAGTCTTGTTTGATATTAATTTATTAATTTATTTTCGCTCAATTTAATGCGATCGCCTTGCCTGGTTTACAACAGTTCATGAACTTTTGTGTGTGCAGGTTCTGGAATTCGAATTTGTTTAGGTAATTCGAAAGTACTTGAATTCCGAATTCGAAAACAGCTTGTGTGGAGGAAGGTGTCAGAATGCAGTATTCCGATTATTGATATATATGCATATATATTTTTTTTATGTTTCAATCATTTGCGGCGGCGTCTTTTGTTGCATTGTGTGCAAGAATTCAGTTAATTTGTGTGTTTTGTTCGCGGCGTTTGCGCCAATTTGTTGAGCAAACATTTCGACAAAATATCACGCACGAGCCGCAAATGCAATGCGCGTATGACAGAATTAATAAGTATACATAGATTGCCTTCGCTCCATAAGAAACGGAGCCAAATGTTTTATCAGCCTTTGTGATTTCATTATTTGTTAAAACCAATCATTATCAGATAAGCCTCCCCTGATTAACTATAACTACAACTAGAACACGCTATCATCATTCTTTTTGTTGGATTGCCACTTGAAAAACCGAATTGATATTTGTATTTGGGGGCAGGTGTTTGCTAAATCCGCAAAATACGTAAGTTTGCAGCCCTGTTGCCGCGGAATGTCGCTTAGACAATTGTAAATAAAATATTTAATTGGCAAATCTGTGGGCGAGCGTCATTAAATGTATTGTTATTCCTGCAAACTAACAAAGTAAATTGCCAGCATTTTATTCCTGAGTGAATAATCACTATGACGAATGTCTTGGAATAAAACGAAATAAAACTAGTTTCTAGATTCCTCGAACTTGACTTAGTCGCTTTTCGAGCTAGTTGGGAAAGACTGGAACTGCGTTTATACCATGAACAAAATGTTAATCCATCAGAGTTGATCTCACATGACGTAACTCTTTCAGAGATTGCTTTTGTCTCCGTTTCGTGTATAAATCAAATGAAAAAAGATCTGTTACATGGGCATATCATAGGTAAACACACAGGTAAACGCACAGGTAAACACACATAGGTATTTCTTTGTTGTGGAACTCCAGAGAACAAAGAGTTTTGGGTGCGCCTTCTGCTATCGGGCTGCCAATTAAATTACTTAATATTTGTCAATTCATCAGTTGAATTCGTGGCATACCCCAAATAAGATGTCACCCCGAATGTTTAGCTATTAAGAACCGCGCTGTCAATTAAACTCACTTGCGGAATGGGCATCGATCGATATTAGGAGAACACTCGACATTAAAGGTCTGATATTGATAAAAATTGGCACAATCTCCCACTTAAACGTAGAAAGGAGGAGACACGACTCTCAAATACTCTATATATCACTATCAGATACATTTTATATAATGAAAACGTGTTAAGTAGCTCTTTCTCTCTCTATCTCTCTCTCGCTCTCTCTCTCTGTTAATAAAATAAGTACAATCTCCCACTAAAACGTAGAAAGGAACGAGTGGGAATGAGGAGACACGACTATCAAATACTCTATATATTAATATTAGATACATTTTATATAATAAAAACGTATTAAGGAGCTCTCTCTCTCTCTCTCTCTCTCTCTCGCTCTCTCTCTCTCTCTCTTTCTCGCTCCCTCTCCCTGTCTGTAAGCTCTCCTCTTAGCTTTTCTGTTCTTCAGACTCTTTTTAATGATTGTACACATTATTACAGGGTATACAAAATGATTTAAGTGAAACATTTTCGAAGGCATGCATCGAAATCCAAAACAAATAAAAAGGCAAAAATAACAAACAAAAAGATGAAAAACTTGATAATAAATCTTGTTTTCGAGTCTAAAGTTTTCATTTAAAATTCAGCATTGAGTAATCGTTGATTGATATTAATGGCAAGTCGCCGACTTTAGAACGCGTAGATCAGGCCATTCGTCTTTATTCTCGAATGTTGTTGTTGTTGTTTTATGTGTTGTTGTTGTTGTTGTGTCTGTTGTGCTGCTGTGCGGGGGCATGGCCAACCGCTTGTAACCCATTTTTGGGCTGGCAACTGCTCTTGACCGCATTGCGTCCGACACTTGCGCCAAATAAGACCGCCAGCCGACGATCTGGCCATCTAGGGGTGGGGAGGGGCAAAGAGGGGGGAGGCGTCGCCTTGGCCAACATGCAGAAGTGGCTGCTAATCCCCGGACCCGAGCAATGCGTTCAATTAGGCCGAGGCTTAGTGTTAATGCCAATATTTGCGATTTAATATTTACACTGATTTTATGGCCCGTTGCCAATTGCCAATTGCAGCTCTCCAGCTGATTAAAGCCGAGACGCAGTTAAGCCAATATCTATTTAATGCTCGATTATTAATTAAGTATGCTTATTTATTTAATAAGTGCGCTGTATGACTTTAAAACATATGTATGTACTTAGCTAGGCTGTGTACATTTCAATTTAATTAACCAATTATTTCAGATCTAGAATATCCCAAAACTGGCAGCTGGAGTGTAATTCATTAACGGTTATACAATGCAAATAAAATTCCAGCTAGCAGCTTTTAGATTAATTAGATTTAATTAGATGAATTACTAAGTACTTATATAGATTTTGCCTGAACCCAACCAAGGCCAAGCATCTGTTGCAGAAGCGATTTGTCATGTGTCAGACAGAGAAGAACTAATCCTCTGTCGGAAGCCCTTAAGAAACCATATATTAGATCATATGAGATATAATGAGTTTTCTTTTGTGTTCAGAGTTTTTCTGCTTGAGCAACATTTACCATAAAACATAACCGTAGTTAAGGTAATCCTCCAGTAATGAAGTGTACCCAATATCATATTGATTGCCTCGCAGTCAATCAGAATCTTTGTCATGTATTCTGAACTCCATTCTCCATTTGCTGCACTCCCATTATTTTGATTTTAAATTGAATTAACATGCATATTAAAATGCTTTGCTGCCCATCCAAGTCAATTTGCAGTTGGTGTGGAGGTGTCGGATAACCAATTAGGTGCCATGTCGACGATGTCATCCAACGGAAGTGGCTGTCATCGTCGACTCGTGGCGTGGCCCGTGTCCATAGCTATTACCCATTCCCATTACGCTGGCCACGTCCAGTCTGTGGTCGGGCCCCGTATTAAGAGCTGCATTCAAATGCGGTCATCGCCCACTTGGACGACAATTGTTCACTTCCATAATTAACGGGCTCTGGCTCTGGCTTCTGTCTGTGTCTTGCAGCGCGTCATTGTCTGGCCGATCGGCATCTGGAGAAGATGGGCAAGTTCGAGTACTCGCTGGGCCTCAATGAGTTCAAGTCCAAGGATCTGCGCCTCTGGCAAGCGCTCGTCGGCGAGTTCATTGGCAATCTGATATTGAACTTTTTCGCCTGCGGCGCCTGCACCCAGCCAGAGGATGGCACCTTCAAGGCGCTGGCCTTCGGACTGGGCGTCTTCATGGCCATCACGGTGAGTACAACTGAAAGAGCCGGGGCGCACTCAGCAACTAAATCCACATCCTCCAGATCGTGGGCCATCTAAGCGGAGGTCACGTTAATCCCGCCGTGACCGTGGCCATGCTCATAGCAGGCCGCATCAGCGTCCTCCGGGCTGTCTTCTACATAGTCTTCCAGTGCCTGGGTGCCATTGCCGGCACGGCCGCTGTCAAGGTAAGTTTGAATTACATTCATGTTGCAAGTTTAAGCCAAACTAAGCCTCCTCGTCGTCTCTGCAGATCCTTCTCGATCCGCTGTATCACAATGGACTAGGCCACACCAGCTTGGCCCACAACATTTCCGAGCTGCAGGGCCTGGGCATTGAGTTCTTTCTGGGCCTAGTTCTGGTGCTGACCGTGTTCGGCGCCTGCGACGCCAACAAGCCGGACTCCCGCTACACGGCGCCACTGGCCATCGGCATGGCAGTCACCTTGGGACACCTGGGCACGATTCACTACACGGGCGCCAGCATGAATCCGGCTCGCACGGTGGGCACCGCCTTTGCCACCAACAACTGGAGCGCCCACTGGGTCTACTGGGCCGGACCCGTGCTGGGCGGCGTGGCGGCTGCTCTGCTCTACACTCAGGTGCTCGAGGCGAAGACTCCGCCCAAGAGCAACGAGGCAACCGAGAAGTATCGCACACATGCCGACGAACGTGAGGTGAGAGCTTTTGCGGCTTGGCACGATAAGAGTTTCTATTGAAACGACAACGAGAAATCCGAAACCCGAAACATCCACAACACACACTCACACACACGTACACACACACCCACAAACACTCACACACACACTCTCAAATTAATCAGTGTAAATAAGTTGCCAAATGAAATCCGTGCTTGAAGACAGTTCCATTTAACATTTCGCCCCCAATTCTCGTCCCACAGCTGCGCAAACTGGAAGGAACACGCGACTATGCTTAAGGCGATATCCTGCTTCTGTAGCCCGCATCAGATCGGGGCCACTCGAATCCTGCGAGTCGAAAGGCGAATGCTCACAAGAATTGAAAGGAATGATGATTCAAGTCCTTGTCTTGATTCCGTGTTTCGTTGTAATCTTGAATAATTTTCCGTATACGTGTTAACTTTTGTATGTACGAGTATTTATGTAATTATTTATGCAAACCCATTTTTAAACTAATACCTAATTTAAGCTGTGCTTAACGCCAATTCAACAAACTTCTTATATTTACATGCGTTCATAATAAAGATAATTTATCACGAAATTAAAACAAGTTGATTATTCGAAATCTGGGCATACTACACGAGAACCTATGGCAGATCAGATCGTATATATGATGAAAAAAATCGAGTCTGAAATCCATTCTATCGAAAATGTGGAAATGGTTTGAAATGGAATTGATTCATGCATGAAATTGATTCATGCAGAAAATAACTTCCGGTCTCTAGATCCAATAGTCCAGGAGAACAGACAAATGGACAGCCAGGCACTCAGCAGTTGCAGGATCGGACAATAAACACCGAAGATAATAACGAATATATTTTAGATCGTGTACGGCTAAAGGAAGCAAATCATCGCGGGGTTCAGGGAATCTTCTAAATCTTCCATTAAATAGAAAATGTTGTACCTTTATACATATATATTTAATGAGTAAAGGCGACTTGGCGCAAAATGTTATACAAGAAATACTTGTAATTTCGCGGGCTCTTTACAGCTTATGTTAAGGCTATGTTATGAAATTAATAGTCGTCTTTTTATCCGATACAATTTCGAAGTAGCCCTGCGCTGTTATTGCACTGCTAAAATACAAATCAGCTGTTCGTAAACAACACAATTTTCAATCGGTAATTTGAAAACAATGTAAAGTTATTATAATTTTTATTATTATTGGATTTACGGTAAGTACATAAATAGATATACAAGTGTTTATGTATTTGTGCTTATGCAAGTATATAGATATCCAAGCAAGTTCTGTATATTGAATTTTATTTAATTTATATCATAAAGCTGTCTTTTAATAATGCAACTACCGGATCAGCAAAACAATAATTGGCGTCCTTATTGACACTTATTGAAGCTGAAGAAGGAGATAGGAATATGAAAGCTAAGCGCCAATATGCTGACGTTTTCAAAGAGGTTTACAATTTTCCTAACTGCGTTGGAGCAATTCAAGGCAAATATGTGGTCATAAAGGCACAACTCAACTTTTTTTAGAATTCTAAAGTATGAATTGACATTTGCATATAACTTTACTAATCATTATTTTTTATTTTAGGGCATCCAGTTAAATGTGCTATTGGCGACTTGATAAAATGCAATACATTGTTACAACTGTATGCACTGTATGCAGGACGTGCTCACTTTCAGTTAAGATTTAAATCTTAAAAGAATAAGCGAATAACCGTTTGAAAGTTAACATTTACACATTTGGAGCTTTTTGAAGCATTTGACAACACTGCATCGTGTTGGCGCCAGAAGCTAAACAGTTGAATACACATGCACGTAAAGCTGCACACACATACGCAAATAGTGTTTGAAAATAGCCAGCAAATGACATGCGCCAAAGTCGAGAGAAATGTAGAAAAATCGAAAAATGTAGCGCATAGCCTCAGTTGATGTCGTTGCGTGTTGGCTGACAGCGTAAAAGACACAACCGTCGCCTCTAAATTCAAAGAGAAAAAAACGAGACCACAAAATTAAAAGTCAAATAATCTGTGAAAATCGGCAATGAAGTAATAAAAAGTCAAACTTGATCGGTATTCAAAACAAATAGGTTGTGTTGAGTGCAGCAAAAGAAAAATTGATCAGCCAAAAGGTCGCCAATCAATACAAATTCAAGCTGTTAAAGCCAACAGCCTTGCAATTTTGAGCATGTCATCCGCAAGCCAGGTCAAAAAGCAAAGGCAAACGGCCAAAATAAACGCGCTGTGTGCTATTTGCGAGTGTGAATTGCATTAGGATTTGTTTGGCCCACTTTGTGTGCTGAATCGATTTCTGCCTACATATTATGCAAACACCTGCGCAACGACAACTGCGACAACTTAACCAGCCCGCAGGACAGTGTTAATCAATAAAAGCCTGTGCAAGTGCTAAAGGTAATAAAAGTTTTATTAATCCCCACGATCTTAAAGTGGGAATGCTATTAAAAACGTCGTTCAACAAAAGCAAAATGTTAAAGTGCGTGTAAAAAGGAAACGCGCAGCCATTAAGGCAGCACACAGCGTGAGAGCGAGCAAAGAGAGCGGGAGAGCGCAAACGAAAAAGAGAGCGAAAGAGTGTGAGTGTGACTGAGAGTGAGAGTTGCAGCTGTGTGCGTGTTGTTTACATTGGCTCCCGCTCTATTCGTTCGCCTGCTTTACTTTATATCTCAGCTGTGACTGCGCGGCGCTTTCTTAATAACCGGCAATCAGAGACGACAATAACAAACATTTATGTATTTAACTGCACTAAATAATTAAACACTTTGCTAATCACACGCTTTGCCAGGGCAGATAATCCGATGGCTGCCACTTACATGCTTATGTGTGTGTGTGTGGCACATTTGTGGGCACACTTGTTGTCATAAATCAAACATTTTCTGAGAGGCGTCGCGAGAAATAAAAAATCAATATAAAATATATTAAAACTACTTCTCGAGTGGCTAAATAAAGAACAAACCTTAACCCAAAATCTGTCAATTAACAAATGTGCGACATTCTTGTGCAGTCTCGACGCACTGTGTCATACACACACACTCCCACACAAGCACACACACACACACATAAATTTTACACTTACATTTGCCGTTTTTTTTTTGGCGCATTATTTCTGACATTTTGCCAACGTTCGGTGTAAATATGCAAAACAAACAATGTGAATTCCTCATGTCATCAATATAAATGCAAATTTAAGTGTCTGCAAGTGGGCGAACCGACAATAATTTTGATTCAATTTAAACAATTTTATTTGTATATAAATGCATCAATTGTTTTTCAAATTGGAAACCTTCTCAATCAAGTAAAAGGCTGAAAATATTTGTAACATCAACTGAAACACAAATTTTGATAGTCAATATTTGACAAAACGAAACGGAAGTCATTAAGGGTAAATTCAGCGTCATGAAGTCCATCTTCCTGCTTTTATTTCAGGTGTGAGCTATTACTTCCATCAGATTAAAGTGATTAAAGATAACACCAAGTATGTAATCCATAACCCGAGGTGGGCAAGATTTTCGATTTGTCTTAGAGGACTTCACGATTCGAATGCGCCTGACCCAAGTCCTTATAGCTTACCCCAGAATCAAAGTCCATAGGTCCACGTCGGCATTATTCGATTTTATTCCAGTTTTTTGAATGCATATTTCATTTATTGAGGTCTCATTAAATATAAATATGCCAGGTCTTCAATAAATATTAACTGTGTCAGAATCTACTTACCACATGCTCAGAAAACTTGGTCTCTGCATTAATTTGGAGCTGTCGATTTCGAGGAAGATGCATCTTCCAGTCTGTTACATACATTTGCACAAATGTATTATAGCATGTTTTACACATCTACACATATATTATATATAGGTTTACCGCATTATATGGGTTCAATGATTTTCCACACTCTATTGACATCAACGGCAGCCATGACATGGTCTCACACATTGACCTAGAACACTTATTAGAGGTTATGCGCTGCTATAAATAGTTCACTTTCCATTCATATATTTCTTTATATGTATATTTATATATATATATATGAATATATATGAATACATTTATGTATGTATGTAAATGTTGAAGATGTGACGTACGCATGTTAGAGGCCAGTGAAGAGGAAATTCACGAATCATCTTTTCAGACTCAAATTTACGGTTCATTAATGTGTCCGGATAACCAGATGCTCTTGTATTGATTAAGCTTACCCCTAAGCAATAATCAAATTGTGGTTTTCTTTTCTGATATAATATTTTGCTAATCATTATATGTAGAACCAAAAAGTATGCAGATTTTAAATAAAATAAATAATAATTATGTTAAAAAAAAAAAAAAAAAAATTATATGTAGAAAATAATTTCACTAGATGATAGTTTGTGGTTAAAAGAGACCGGAAGCAGGTTAAAAGTTTAGTCGTTGACTGGGTTGATCCAATCCTAACTTCACATGTCGCCACTCTGCAGACGTTTTAGACTTCCACGTATTCCGGGTCCGTGGCAAAATGGTTGGCCTAAGTACGCAGTCTGTCATTAAAGCAACTGGAGAGTCTGTTGATTTGCACACAGAATGGATACACACCCAGATCGTAGAGAGAACTGTGCTTTGAGACTAGTCCAGTCGCTCGAGGGTTTACAGGCAATACCCTAAGTCCAGGCTGGGATCAATATAGCATTATACATTTATATTTTGCATCGGGGAGAAAGGCGTCAATGTTCTCAAGCTAACGTGCTTTTGTTCTTGATATTTTGACAACTAGCCGGATATTGGATTCCCAAGTAGATCGCTTGTCCAAAGTTAAACCAAGATTTCGAATGTTTTCATTATATTGGATCCGGAAATTACCGTAATTTACACTCGCTTTAACTTGGGAGTTGGCTTCTTTTACCGTTAATATCTATACTCCATCGCCCGCAGAAATTGTAAAGCTAGTGTTAAAGCTGACTACAGCAAATCTTTAAGATTTGTATAAATAATTTATTTGGATCCATTTTAGAAGGTCTGGGTATGGGTATGTCGTGGTATATAGACTTCGCAAAGATACCTCTTGAAGCGTTAATATTTCCTGCAGGAATTATGAATAAATTCATACAAAGAATGTTTTTCCCTCTTTTTGAGTGATTGATATTCGGCAATTCTTTACATTAAAGTGAACTAGAGACGTTTCATATATAAACAAAATACACCACAAAGAAAATCGTCTGTTAAGCTCAAGTTTACCATTAGATACATAAATGCTTCAGGAACAAGTTAACTAATCTATAATTTCTTTCCAACGAGTGAAAGCTTATGAGTTAGTTAGTAAATATGTATCTATATCTTACAGGCCAATTGTTCCGTTTTAGCTGCAATGTCGTAATACTGAGGGAGTTATGCAGTTGCCGAACTGTAAATTTGAGCGCTTCTATGCCGGAACAGGCTAAACCCTTCCAATCAGAATCGTAAACGTATCGAGTCAGCCAGGTATGAGACAAACCTATATCTTTAATAATACCTATTTTTCATATATGTTTCTTGTTATAATTTTTGCAGAATTAAGGAGCGAACCTCTCCATCAGTATGTGGACTAAAGAAAGCGCAGCCAGACATTGGCTGCTGGCCTTGACAGGTAAAAATTCCATTTCAAGTCCAGTACGATTATGATTAAGTATTCATACTCAATTGAGGCCAGCGGCCAAAAAGCAGCTGGTTTATGGGCCGTGACTTTTTACTAGCCAAATCGAAGGCAGGCACGAGGCGCTTCAAAGACCACAGAGATTATTTACGAGTTATCTAGTAATCAAATTGTACAATGCCGCTTGCCGCTGGGCGGACTCTTGTTTTTATTTTAACAATAATCGTGGACCGATATAGAACTTGTGAAGTATATTAATAGCTGGACAGTCAAGCTATGTGCCACACACACACACACAAACACACATACATGCATACATGTGCGCATTCGTAAAGAAAAAGCGGGCGTGCAACGGGTCGTATGAGCGATGTGCGATGTGACTTGCTCATAGAAAAGCAAAATAATAAAGAACAAGCGGAAACAAATAAACAAATAAATACAATATAACAACTGTAGAATAACAGCGAGAAAGAGAAAGAGGTTATTTTTCTTAATTAGATGTAAAAATTGTATTCATTTGCCAAAAGACAATTAATTTACAAAATTTCGTTTTCACAAATTTTCTCTATGCGTATGTAAAATTGTACAAAAGTTATTTTGGCATTGGCAAAATTCGGTACAGCTGATAATTGTTTTCCAAGTAAGTTTCAGTTCCGTTTCAAAATTGCGACGTTCGTTTGATTTCTGTTTTGCCTATGGTTTTAAATACTTTTGCGTTTGTACTAAACTAATTGTGTATTTTATTTAGTTCTATACTCTAATACTAAAATCAACATTTAACAACAAACAAAAAAAACACATTTTCTCTGGCCAGCCAAAGCCTAAGCACCCTTGCACATAGCTCTTGCAAAAATAAATAATCTAAAGGAAATTGTTTGTTTTTTAACCAAACTGAATAATGAAAAATGTTGTCAATGTATATATAAATAGATAAAGATGTTTATATTGTTCTAAATCATTTAATCGATAGACAAGTAAAGTGATAAAAATATAAGAATTGTTTGACTCATTATTTTTATACCCTGAACCCATTTAAAATGGGTAAAAAGGTTATTATGTATTTGTGCAAATCTATGTAACAGGCAGAAGGAAGCATCTCCGACCCCATAAAGTATATATATTCTTGATCAGCATCAATGGCCGAGTCGACCTAGCCATGTCCGTCTGTCCGCCCGTCCGTCTGTCCGTCCGTCCGTCTGTCCGTCTTTATGAACGCAAGGATCTCAGAACCTATAAGAGCTAGGGACTTGAAATTTTAGCTATAGGTCCTCCTAGTCCCCGCGCAGATCGAGTTTGTTTCCGATATTCGATAACTTGCCATGTTTCCAAGTAATCGATAAAAATCGATATCGAAATCCTGTTTTTTGAGCAATTTCGGCAAATAATATCAGCTACTAGTCATGTAGTTTCTAGAATAGTAAATATATATATAGTATTTTTCTTTTTATACCTATCGACTGTCGGAAGCAGAGGGTTCAGGGTATCCCCTAGTCGGTAGCTCCCGACTGGAACCTCTTACTTGTTCTTATTAATAATTTCAAAAGAATTGATGTCATTTTTAAAAGTTAAAGCTTCTGCAAGGGTGCCTTAGGCAGAGTCCAGGCAGCCAAATACTCTAAATACCCTGTAAAATACTCGTAATTCGTAAATGCCACACCAGTTGGTTGCGTTCGGTTGTATTCAGTTGAGTTTGGTTTAGTTTCATACGTGCTGCTGTTCCTATCGTCTACTCGTAATGACAGTCGTCTCTATACAATTGGCCACACACACACACACACACACACACACAACACACGTCCTGCATTGAGAGTGCGATAATGTCACAAATGTGTCGTGCTTGTAACATGTCTTGCATATACCCTCGAAAAAGGGGGACAACTCGTATGACACACTGTACAAATGCATTGCAAATTTACCATGTACTATGTATAGATATTTGTAAGCCTAACTGTTACCCAAACTGTGTTAACCCCCCCCCCCCCTCCCCCCACCCCACTCTTCCTCCTCGACAGCTGCTCTCACACTCGACACTCTACACTCGCTAATTAAAGTCCACTTTACTCGTAGGTGAGGTATTTCCTAACTGTTTTTGTGTGTGGCGCGCATCCCCAGAGTTTGTATATTCCCGTCCAACTTCTCTTTGCATGCACAGCCATTTCCATGGAATGGTTCAAAGCTTCCGATTTCACACAGCATATAACAATTGGATAGTCTGTCCATAAATTTGTTTTCTTTTAAAGCTAACCCCAATTTCATTTTTGCTTAAAACTAATTTACTTTTATTTTTTTAAGCGACTTTCCTAAACCCTGATGTATGTTTTGTGAAATATTGTGCTTAAAACGTGTTGAGATTTTTATTTTCCACTCTTTTCGTCGAAATGTCGAAATCCACTTAAACCATTCCATTGAATATGGTTCATGCAGATGCAGATGTCCTTTGTAAATGTGTCTAATTTCCACCCTTTTCACGCAACTTTGTATTTCATTTTCATCTTCCTGTCTTCTACTTTGCTCTTCCTTTTATTGTTTATTTGCAGCCATATTTGGATTTCTGACTTTTGTATGGATTCCATCAGCCTCGGCCGAATGTCAAAGTATGAATCCATTGATCCTCTGCCTATATACAAACGCTTAAATATACCTATAATAAACTTTATGCAAAAACGAAAAGAAAAAAAACAAACAAACAAAAATTAAAAAATTATAAATTATCAATACGAAAGTCATGCATAAGTATATGTATATTCTATTTGTAACATTTAAATTGATTTACTCAAGTGAACGAGAGTCCAGATATATTGTCATAATCGGCATTTTGTTCAGAAAGGCTCTGTGAATATGCCACTATTTGTCTATAAATGTTTTGAATACCTCAACAATTAACTCTCAGTTCCCAAAGCATTTTCTTTTGATTTATGCCAAGCCAAACAGATTTTTACAGTCAATTTGACAATTGCTTCCGTTTTTCCGTTCTTTTTCTTGCAAGCATATATTTCAAGAACCCAAAGCCTTATACACCCTTTTTTTTATCCGATTTCACCAAGGGACTCGTATTGCCCAGAGTCTGTTTTCTTACTTTTCCATTTTCTTTTCCAACTTGCAACTACTTATATATCTCTTACCTGTTTTTCTCTGTACGTGTGTCTGAGTGTGTGTATGCTTTTAATAAATGTGTAGGTTTTTCTGTGTGCCAGCATGTCGAAAACATTTCCAACTTTAGTCCTTTACGATTTTAGATAATATTTTTAAAAACTTGCACGTCTTTCACTCTAGATTCGGCTATTCTTTAAAGCACATTACACATTTGTTTGCACTTTTGAAACATATAGTTTTATCTAATTGAAATATACAAGTTTTTCAGGGCTCAGAATCATTTAATTAAAGCTAAATGAAACAGTCTTATGTCTCTTTATGTAATGCGAGCATACCCTGATTTTCCACTATATACTCCAAATTTGTATTGTTTTTACATGAATGACATTTTCGATATTCCTTTTACTCTTTTTGCTCATTTCATAATTATCTTTGATCTCTGTTTCTGAGTTTGCTTAAAAGTTATTCATTAATCAAAGTTACAAAGGTTGCAAATAATTGCAGGTATTTCATTCATCAGCCCTTAATTATATATTTAACCAGCTAGTAGATAATCAAGAGAAGTATTAGTTCGAAGCAGGGGAAGCTATTAAGCTTCAATCTTGCGTGTTTATAGATGTATCTACAGCTACATCTACATCCACATCTTTTTACATATGCAGGACATGCCCTGGCCAACTTTTTGCACCTTTAATTTTAATTTCCTTGACTGCCAGTTAAATCATGCTTATGTCCAATAATAATATTAATTGATAAGCCACATTTAAAGCAGAAACAGCATCAAACAATGCCATTTAAGAAGCACCTCAAGCATGTAGATGCTGTTTCCTTAGTTAAATGCTTTTCACTCTGCTTGTTTTTGGTTGTTCTAAAAGGCAAAGTACAAAGACTTTTGCATGCTTTTGTGCTTGTTTTATATATAGAGTTAATAAGTAGAGTCTTGCGTTGCTGCAACTTAGTCGCGTAGTCCTAAGCGGAGCAGCAGGCGAATCCATTTGAGACTGATTCGGGCTCAGGGTTAATAAATGTCTTGTGCTTTATACTGCAGCGCGTTCGATTTACTGCTACGAGTGCGACTCCTGGACGGATGCGCGCTGCAAGGATCCATTCAACTACACGGCCCTGCCGCGCGATCAGCCGCCCCTGATGACCTGCAATGGCTGCTGTGTGAAAATGGTGCGACACCAGAGATCACGTGAGTAGCCATATATGTTAGGGAGGAGCACAGGCGGCCTGTGTATCCTTGTCGCATCCGATGCTATGCACTTGCAAGGGATACGCCAGGATACGGCAATCCTCGTGAGAGGCGGATCAACTGAATGGGTGTATGCCTTATACTTGTCCTACTCCTTGTCTTACAGCCTACGAGGTGGTGCGACGCATGTGTACGTCACAATTACAAATCAATTTATTCATGGTCGATCACGTGTGCATGATGGAAAGTTCAGGCAATGGACATATGTGCTTTTGTGAGGAAGATATGTGCAATTCTAGTAAAAGTTTATACTCATTCGCAAACGGTTATCAACAACTCATACTCATCACAATGCCATGGCTAATACTGCTAGCTAAGTTTGTGCACAGATAGATCGACATCTACATATACTCAGATTGCAGGGCATTCGTTAAAAACCCAGAGAAGCGTTAAAAGTACATAGAGTTACACAACACAGCACACAAACAGGAACACATACTCGATAGTTATCATGCCCAACACACACACACACACACTCACACACACATTTACACATTGATTTGTAGCCAAGTTGTGATTATTTAAGTTTCGCATTTCAACCAATGTAAATGATGTTGATTTTCGTTCTGCTAGCACAGTTATTATCGAGTAATTAATAGATCGAAAGTTTTGACTGCACACACACACACACACACACACATACACACATTTAAAAGACGCCCCCCATAAGGGGCCCCAATGAATGCCGATGCATATAAGACTTCTACATGAAGAAGTGCTGCATACGACTCTCTTACTTACATATATACTATATATATATAATACCACAGTCCAATGAATCAAAATGCGAGCTTGTTGCACTTGCCCGAAAGCATAATTACATTAATAACTAGTACTAGGTACTTGGTACTTGGTACTTGATACCTGGTTCTTGGTACTTGGAATGTTTGGTACTCGAGATCTATCAATGATATGAACTACTATTTGAAATGCATGTTGTTAATGCTAAAGCATGTAGCGCTTAAGTAGGTACTCGTATCTGTAGTTACATTTCTTCAAATTTTGTTACTTACATTTATAGAGTCCCAATGAAATGAGTTACACATTTATCATACATATGTACCATAAGTAAGCTTAATAATTAACTTGGTATATAGATACATACTTAAGCAAATGTATAAATTTCGTTTTGTATATATCAGAGTGCCCACATTGAATCGGAATCGGAAACTAATGGAAATTGAAATTTAATTTGAATTTGAATTTGATATCGAAATCGAACCCGAAATCGAAAAGGAAAGATAAAGTATTGTGCAATGGTCAAGTCTGAAGAATGCTTGTCAATTGCCGCATTAACTCAAATGAAATTTGCTCATCATGTTTATTCCAAAGTCAAGAACTCCATATGCATAACGTAACTTAACTCTTACTCTATCTTATCTCTAATCACTAAGCTAAGATCTATGTCCAATCATATCACAATTACTTTCTCTCCAGGAGTACCTAGACAACCCACACCAATTTAAGTTGAATATCCAAGTCCAGTAGTCGCTTAAACTGTATAAAGATTCCTATTGATTTCACTCTCTTTGGTTTGTTATTCAAAAAGTGATAATTAGCCAGTAAGTAGCCCCAAAAAAAAAACACCCTGTATACAACAACTCGAAGTCCTTGCTTCAGATATTATGTAGAACTATCCGAAATTCTAAAACAGGGTTGTTGCTAAAATTACAATTGGAACTTTGAAGACCGAGCTGTGTACAGGGTGTCGCGCAGTCGGGCAGCCCGACTGCCCTGCTCTTTTTGTTATTCGTGCTAGTGATAGTTTTAAAAGAAAATCTCAAATCATTTATGTACTTATACATAGTTAAATGTAGCTTATGATTTATTTTTCTTTACACATAATTATAATTATGACAACTTGAATTTGTATTCTAGGCATAAAAAAAAACAGATATAACAATTCGAATTTTCATTTATGTAATAGAAAATTGGCTTATCAGAAATAAACATTTTTACAAACATACCTATGTACATGCTGCATATGTATGCGTATGTATTTGCTATACTCATTTTGAAAATTACTTCAACTCTCAACTTTGCCTTATTTCAAATCACCTAGATCAACTTTCTCCACAACTGCACCTTACATTTGTAATATACTTTAGTGCTGGCTTTAGTTACTAACTTGCTATACTAACTATTCTTGTAAAAAACAACCAACATCAGGACATGCTTGACAGCTTAAACAACTCATCTCCGTCCAAGCGTGGAGCATGCTCTTTACAATATAGCCTAGCCATACCTCCCCGCAAACCCGCAAATCCCCACCCCCTAATCGCCCCCAGGTAAGTCCCACGAAGCACCATTCTCTCTGTCGAGTTGGCCCTGCAAGGATTCGCGTTCAGGTCCAAAGGCTTACACTATCTGGTCCCAGAGATTTGGAAACTGTATTCATCTGACACTTGGCAATCGGATTGGTTTTTGTATAGTTCATTTTTTCTTCGTTTGTCTATTTATGTTTTGTGGTATGTTGGTTTATTTGACTATGATATACATACAATATGCATACAAGTAAATACATATATAAAAATACTTACATATATTTAACTAATTTCGGTTTGTGAATGTGGACAATATTCTTATAACCAGTATTTGATTGACAGTTAATGCGTTTCAAAGTTTTTAACAAATTAACGACTTAAATTTATTTGCATCAATTTCAAGAAATGCAATCACCACACACAAATTTGTAGTGCAAAATGAAAAAAATATCATTTTAGTTTAGTACTTTTTGTAGTTAACCTCTCTCGCTCACACTCTCTCTCTCTCTCTCTCTATATATATATATTTATCTTTATCTATATACATATTCTGATTAGCTCTGTTCTCAAAACTCTCTTTTCTTTAACAATCTTTTTACTAATCTATACTTCACAAAACATAGAACTCTAATAGACACCTCCGTAGTTTAGTTAAAGCAACAACACAATAAATCACGTTCCAAATGAGATATGCACTCGATACTGGGATTGGAATTGGAATTGGAATAGGAACGGATGTAAATATATATATAAATACAAGTCGGCCAGCACGAAGGGGCCAACACAAATGTATTTATCCACATTAGATACCAATTAACCCAATCGAATCTTTTCGCCGACAATTGTCTAGGTATTGAGAAAGTTCGATCCGTTTCTTAAGTTTCAAGTGCATATCAAACCTTTCAATAATTGGGAAACCCTACAGTCGACTACATTTTTACAACAAACAGATCTACAAGCACAATACAGTCTAGTCTTAGCCAAAGCCCAAGCAGTTCTCATAAAGCTATCGTAAATTTTTACTATGCTAGGCGCGTTTTCAATTCAATCTTAATTAGAACTGTGCCATATTAAAGGCCGCAAATAGTCCCGTGTTTTTTTGCCATTTTGGGCATGATTTTGATCCATAAATTCCTCACAATACAAAAAGCACTAAATTAATATCAAAGACTTTACCAATATAGCAGTTGCCATTTTAAGAATATTGGTATTGGTTGTTGAATATTGTAAAAAAGAAAAACCAACAAAAACGAACTTAAGCAAAAACCAACATTTCCTTATAAGTATACTTTTCGTTTCCTAAGTTCAGTTTATACACAAATCCTGAGACGAGCCCGAGCCATGTGTTCCGCTTTCTTTCCAATCATCAGTTTTTCTATCATTCTTTTTTTTTTTTGTTTCGATAAGCACAATAACATCTACATATGTACAAACAATGAATACATACCATACAAGACACATATACATATCGGCATACTGCAGTACAAACCTATTTATGTGTCTGCATATATCCATATGCTCATGCATGTACTGGTCGAAGGCCTGCGCTCAGTTCTCCATTTTGCTCAATTCATAAGCACTCAGTCGCTTGTGTCTCTCCCTCTCTCTCTCTCTTTCGCTCGCTCCCTCTACCCAGGCAGTGTGTAACAGCTGCACAGGCGTGACAGTGTGCGGGATTGTTTTATCGGCTTGGATAGGCGAAAAAGCTTTCTCACGCAGCTGCTTGTCGTCCTCTAATCGTGCTTTCGCTGTCCCACTTGGGAGACGCGCTTCTCCATTACAACTACCGTTATACGCTATGGTGCTTTTTCACATACGCCACCACTGTCTGACTTAAATTTTTTCATCATGTACGCCATCGCAAACCATGACAGTAGCCGCAATGGCGCGACAGCTGCTCCACAATCGCCACACTTGCGTACATACGTGCATACATACATACGTACGTTTAAATACATACATATGTATGTAGCGATTGTGGACAAACTGCGCGCGCACATTTCCGAGCAACTGCATCCCGTTGGCTTAGCCCTGTGCCTGTGTGTGTGTGTCTGCTGGCGTCATGCCAGTGCGAGCCCAGCGCACTCTGCCACAGGGCCAGCCACCTTTGTATGTATAATATGTGTACGTCCTTGCGACGTCGACAAAACATCATCAGCAGCAGCAGCAGCAGCAACAGCAGCAGCAGCAACAACAACAGCATCATCAGATTGGGCAACAACAACAAGAAGAAGAATGGCAGAATCAACTGTGGAGCGAGAATTGCCCCTCTGGGCAGGGACGAGGACGCGCTTTAAGGCTTTTAACTGCTTTTGAGGGGCTATTTGAACACCAAAAAAGCTTTTTATTTGTTAAAGCAATACGCAATCAAGTCTAAAATATAAATAAGCTTTCCTTTTAATTTGATTTTTTTTGCTCAAGCCTTAAAACTTTTGCAAATTTGCGATACTCTTTGTTAAGATCTATACTTATGTAAGTGTTGAACATTATGAATGTAATACATATAATTAATCAAAAAACAAATCAGCTTTTAAAACACTTATAATTATCCAGCCTCAGCCCAAAATTACATTATTGTATAAGAGTTTCTCAAGGCATAAATTAAATTTATTAATCGGTTACTTTATAAGTACCATGCTGATCAGAAATCAGAGTTGTTTTGATGTATGTTTTTACATATTATGTTATGTTATTATTACTGTAGCTTAGCAGCCAACAATTGAAGAAAGATGGTTGCGGAAAACTTGACTAAGTATTTATTATTATTTACAAATAATGCTTTATAAAATATAAAGCGAATAAATTTGATGTTTCTCGTTTTCATTGGGAATGGTTTAGCTGCCTAAAATACATGTTACATCACGGGATGTTATTCCACATCCTGAAACAAACAATGTAAGAAAAGATTGGCGCAATCTTCAGGGACGGCTTTTGCAGGCAAACAGCAACATTTTGTTACATTAATCAATAATGTTTATTATCAATCAATAGCATTCACTAGCTGACAGAAGCTGTTTGCTAGCAAGTAGCCACGACTGAGGACATTTGCTACGATACGTTGCTGACTCAGGATACCCTATTGAGTGCTGACAGAAGCTTATTGCTTTTCTGCCACCGTTAATGCAAATCAAAGCTAAATGATACAGTAGCGCGATTCTGGCAGTTCCAGCACACATCTGGACTGCTTGCAGCAGCAAGCAGGTATTTTCAAAGAGACTAGTATTCTTTACAGTCGGTTGACAGCACTCTTGTATGGTTGTTCCAATAGTTTTTGAAAGGATATCAAGCAACGAAATATTTGGAGCAAATTCAATTTGGTTAACATACTATTTGTGTCCAGGTCAAGTGATTTTCTTTACATTTTGAATGGGTAACATTGTCAAATTGTTCCAAATTATTTATTCGCCTATTTTACAGGCAACATTTTTCATTTCGTTAACATTTTCTCATTCGTCCATTAATTTTATTGGCAGCACTATAAATGTCTGTAACAGTATTCATAGATTAACGCTATTCAAATTCATATTATTCTGACAAGCAGCCCCGTCGTTTGGCATTTTGTATTATATTCTGTTAGCCCATATTCTTACCATTTGATATTTATTCCAAATCAAAATAACTAAACTTTAAACATAAATTAAAAGTTAAGTCAACGCGGGATTGAAATGATCGGAACGATATCGTGAGAAAGCCATATTTCGTTAAGTATTTCGTCAAACTAAAAACGAGGTAATCGATTGAATCTTTTTTATCGATATATCGTTAAACTGATGTTGATCTCATCACTGGCTGGTAGATGCTGTCCGCTGGCCATACAAATAAATAACAATTTTTGGATAAAAGCGGAGGTTACAAATGCTCCTGTTGTATGCATTAAATGTAGAATTTAATTCTGAAATTTTCAGCGCAAACCCCATTCAAATTCGTCAAATGTAACACAATCTAAGCTACCCAAAATAATTTCCATAGCATTACGACAAGCGTTCAACTCCGAAAACACTTTAGTATCAATTCGTGATGGCCGCCCGCCATTAAGTAAAAACGTGTCCGCAGAAGAAAAACAATTTCAAACGTTTTTGTTGACGAAACTGTCAAAATATTGCTTGTTTCGCTGCGGAAAACAAAAATACAGTGGAAGCACATGATTTCCACACAATTCCGACTTGTCAAAGTCAATAAAAGTGCAAAAGAATGTGCGTGAAAAATGTAAATCGATTTTTTTGTTTGTGAAAAAAAAACTTTTCGCTGCTCTTGCCTCTTTTTCGTGTGCAGCTCGCTAGAGGGCGGTACTAGTACACGCTTCGGAGTCGCAGAGTTCTATGCCGGGCTATCAGATCCTAACGCCGTTGTTCGTTCCGCCGATAACTTTTGTTTTTCTGTGTACCAGGCTAATAAATAACAAACTAATTTAATTGTAGTGCCAAATTATTTTTTCTGCATGTATTTTATGATTAGTTTTAATGCTACGTAGATAAAAGTTGTTATCGTTGCGCCATAGCCGATTTTAAAGAACGCCGATGTTGCAAACAAACAATTCGCGGCCTGGAAATGCTACGCGCCGTCGTTTATCTTCGGCTCTGGCCGCCATTACTGCTTCCAGCAAAACCACGCTATACGCAAAATTCGTGAAATTTGTGTAAATTTTTTTACGAATTATCAACAAAATTGTGCGTGCAGGTGTGTGAAAAGCGCGGTAAAGTGTGCTAAAAAATTATTTAAACGGTATAAAAAATACCGCTGCTGGAATATATTAGTGCTTTGGCAAATAATTGCAAAAAACAAAACCCACATGAAGTGCTACGTTTTTTTCGTCGTATTTTGCAGATAGGCTTCGTGTTTTTTCTTCGTGCAATTCGCCGCGTTTGTTTGGGCGAACTCGCCGCGTGTGTGTTTGTTTATGCCGCCTTTTTTACGCTCGCATCGGCGGCGCGGCTTTTCTGCTTCTATCTTCTCGCGTTCCCTATGATTTTGCATTTCTCGAGTGTTTTATACACAACTACAACTCTTTTTATTATTCATTTCACACACTGAAAAATTGCGGGTTTCAGAATGAAAATGATTCATCAGTTTTGTCACCAACATATTGACGATCTCATGTTCTCAAGAGCGCCAGACAATAACAAAATTATGCGTGCATGTCTGTGAGTGTTTTGCGTTGGAGTATTTGTATATATATGTTTTTTTAATGTTTGTGTGTGTGTGTGTTGTGCAGTTGCAAATGAAAACACAGCTCAAAATAATTTTCCCGCGCGCGCTTAATTTGTTATATCGGTTTGGTAGTGCCTGTGTTAGTGTGGATGCGCTTGTGTGCGTTTCGTGTGTACGTGTGGTTTGTTTACTTATTTGTTTTGTTGTTGTTTTGCAGATTTGTATCAGCTGCAGCAACTAACAGAACAGGAATACCAAGAACAGCAACAAGAACGCAACAAAACGCAACTGGAAGTCAATAATACCAACAAACAAACATTATTAAGAATAAAGATGAACTGAAATGTGCAAATTTGATCAACGTAATTATGCCAATTCACATAATTTTTTCGATTTCAACGTGAAAAATGTCGTCGACACAATTGCTGCACTCGTTATTGTTGTTGCTACCACTGCGTTGTCGTCGTAATTGCAATAAACTAATCTCTTTGGCCCTGTTGTTGCTCTCAGCGCTGTTCGCATACAACGAGCAACGACAGCAGCAGACGGCAGCAGAGGCAGCGGACGACGACGGCAGCAGCAGCAGCAGCAGCAACAGCACCATCAGCAGCACAAGCAGCAGCAGCAGCAGAGGAAGCGGCCCAGCAGCAACAACAAAAAGAACTAACCCAACAGTTACGTTGGACACGCCTTTGTATACAGCAGTAGCGACTGCAGCAGCCGTGGTCAAGCGGCGTTCCAACAAAAAAGCCGCCAGCAGCATCCAGAGCCGGGACGTGGGTACGGGCACGGAAACGGGCACAGGGGCTGCGTATATTAGCTGGCACAGCAGCCATTGCCACCGCAGCCCCGGTGCTCATTCGGAGGCACAGGCAGAGGCAGAGCAGACGGTGCTGCGCTCAGCAACAAATAAGACTAGCTCGGCGTTAGCGTTGACGTCGTTACATAAGCTTAAGAGCAGCATATCTCCTCCATCCATAGACGCTTCAATTTCGAGGCTAACAATAGCAACAGTAGCTGCAGCAAAAACAAGAACAACGAATCTGTTGAAGGGCTCCTGTAAAGAAGCATCAACAGAAGCAGGAGAAACAAATCTCTGCAGTAGGAATCCGCCGTTGCCACTGGTCGTTGCAGGATCAGCCATTGGCAGTTGCCACTGCATAGCATCGATAGCAACTTAAGAGCCACTATCACCATCATCCACAACAACAAACAGAAAAATAATCAGACAACATTAGCAACAACAAACA